CCTTTTTTCACTTGTTTCTCCTCATTTCCACCGTATTCGTCCATTTGCAACCTAAACCAAAATATGAGTGTACTTAGAACATTTAGGTGCTAATAAATCATGAAAATGCCATTATTAGTGGATGAATAACGTGATAACTGCACTATTATCAAGTTTCCAAAGCCTGTCTCAAGTTCGTGCAGAGAACCAAAAGCCTTCTGCAAGTTCCCCAAGCTAGCATGAGCATATAGCTTGCCGAGGTATGATTCAGGATTTGGGACCTTCTTATGGCGCAATGATCGCTTAAGAATTGCCCGTGAACCATCCAGAAGTTTAGAATTATAAGTCCTACCTGCAGTGCCAAGGGCAGAGACAACTAACCCTTCATCAACAGAGAGCAGAAGCTGCAAAACAGGAGGCCTCGCATTCTCCCCCCGAGCAATCCACTTTGCCATAAACTCAAGGGCATAATAAGTTAATTCACTGTTATCCGCTTGCATCGCAACATCTGCAATATAATTGCAAGGTGGACATAAGGATTTGTTTTGATCCATTTTCTGATCAGATCAGTAGAAGCAAAGTCGGTCACAAAAAATATTAATAATGTACTTTGTATCTTATTGAATAGCCAGCCAGCCAGTGTACCTTGCATCTCTCTATAATCGATACCAACTTATCAAGCCTCACATTATGAACACAGCTTTGGATGCACTTCGTGAATGCATTCATTGACAACATATAACCTGCCCTTAGGGTCAGATCTATATATTTCAGGGCAGTATCAATCTGGTTTGTTACAAACAGCATGCTATAAAACCAAGTCAAATGACTCATCATCAGGTAAAGATTCCTTAAATTCTTTTCCTGTCTGTATCATCCTGACATTAACAAAGTAAAGAGTCATCTATCATATTAGTAAGCTTAAATATATCGTTTTCAGAAATGTCTGCGAAATGCCCATAAACAAAAATTGGGACAGTTATAGAGACAAAATGAGCGTGGAAAAGCCCTTGCTACACACGTCGTCCCTTCATAAAACAAAGACAATTTAGTACATTAAACATGTATACACGTCATTGAGTTTACATAATTAACACTTCATAGGAGCTTGGGATAGCGCGGGCCCCACCCCCCAACCCCACTCACATTATGTACACACCTATGGATATTGCTATGTTTTACACCATCTTTTGTCAACCAAGATGTCAAATTCATTGGGAACAAAGCTTATTTCTATTGAGCATCAAGGCTAATGATGCTCATTGACATGTCTATTGAATGCATGCATCGTAATTTGGATAAAAATAATAATTATCAATTATCATTATAATATATAAGACGCTTGTGATGGAATTTCTATTCATATTTTAGGTCAAAATGACGTTTTTATTTTGATTTTTTTACTCGAAAATGACGTCATATTGTGAATGACTAAACAGTTCCACTATATTGACATTAAGTTTGACAATTGTTTTTACATCGTGTGATGTGGCATACTTTTTTACCCTTGATTTCAACAACATTTAAATTAATGAATTATTTTGTTAGTCAAGTGGCATTTTATTACGAAGCATTGTTCACAGGGGGCATACAGGCCCCTCACAGAGGGGGGCCCCACATGCATTTAAAAAAGAAAAAAAAAATTAGTGTGCGCCCCCTCCCCATTGTTCATTTATTATTGACCGGTGAAAAATAAACATCATGTTGATGTACAGGCAACATCAAAAATAATTCACGGCACAAATCTTGAGACCAATGTCAACTTTAACATGTACATGTACAAATAGTATTTTCCCTGAAAGAAATCCTAAAACTGAAGTCTCCACCCTCATTTCTTTCTCTTGCGGTGCATTTTGTGAGCTTTCCCCACGCTCTTCTCAATTCTTGTGTATTGCTCTTTTAATATTGATTCGTCAAAAATTTAAGCAACGATAGGGTTCTATGATTTTTTATAACTTTGTTTATAAACTTCAATATTATTTTTTACAACTTCTTAGATTCTTGTTGACTTTTTGGATGAAAATATTCCATTATCTTTATTTTAGACCTAGGTTTTTTTATTAAGCTTGAATTAATGTTGGCAGATAGTATATTGAAATGGTTGTTTAGACAAAGAAATATTTAAGATTAATTGACATGAACGTAATTAAACTCTGGAAATGAAAAGAAAGAAAATAAGAAAAAGAAAAGAAAGTGAAAAACGAAATTCGAGGCAAGTGAAAATACATTCTCCTTAAGACAAAATTACCTCGCAACGGTGCTAACGGTTTACGGCACTTGTTTTCCAAGATACGATGGATACAACTTTTGGTAGAAACACTTCAAACCGCAAGCAGCAGTGAACTTTAAACGAAAATTTTCCCTCTACAAGAAAATGTTTTTGGAATGACTTTCGGAGAGTATTCTGTAAGAGTTTTTGATATAATGCTGAATGCAAAATTGATATGGAATGTATAATGGACATCCAAATGGTCCTATTTATAGAAGATGAGGGGTTGTGAGTGAAGTGTCATACCTCAAACTTAGCAACCTTCACGAAGGGAAGCATACTTTACTGTCACTGGCCTCTCACTCTGGCGATAGTGTCACCTATTCAATAGAACATTTCTCGAGCTACGAAGTTAGGCATTTATCTCGAACATTTTTTTTCTTCTTTTCTATCTAACTTTGGACCGCAAATTCTCATTCATTCGGAATTGATTTTGAGATTCCAAATATACTCGATGAGTAAAATAAGTTAGTCTATTTATATTTATAATTTGACTATAGGATCAATTTCGAATATTTGGTTGAAGTTGACACAAAATCACTTTTTAAGTTGTATACATAACTAAATTTTCATTCTCTAAATCAAATTCCAACATCTATCATATCCTTAAT